GTAGCGAGTCTGAGTCGAATCAATCGGGTACAGGGGCTATTCTGACTCGAAGCCTCCGTCCACCTGTACCACAGGGGCACGGTCTCTCTCAGGAATGGTTGTCTCTGTATACACTTCCAAGGAAGGGTTAGTTTCTCGTTACTACACTGACAAATCTGTACACTAATTCATCATGTAAGGCAATTCCACATTGGCTACTCACAGCTATTTTAGTCCGCCAGTGGAAATTGTTGTTGGAATGCGGCACGGCTCTCCTCTAAGTTGCAACTGACAGCTAAGAACCGACCTAAGTACCTCTCACCCCGTCTGGTGCGGCGTGTGGTGTTTGGTGTGACGAATTTTAGGTACGACAGATATCCAACTTTTGCATAGTGGCGAGGGCACTAGTTACGTAGAAAAGCTTATAAACCCTGTCCTTCGAAATATTTGATAGGGTAGTTGTTAATGGCTCCCATCATTACCGGATATGGGAATTGGATGTCTGGGCATTCGTCTCATAGCTATCCACCAGCATTGCAAAGGAAGTGAGGTGAAAAGAACCGCTAAGGAGAAGAAGTTTCGATCGCGGGGATAACACTTTCATTCGCCCGACACTTCGACATCCATTGCGGATTCTTCATCGGAGACATGAGGTACTATTTTCTAGTCATGCCTATGATGAAGAATCGGCGACAGATGTCAAAACGTCAGACGAATAAAAAGTGTTGTCTCAGCGATCGAATCTTCTCCTACTCAGGCTTCTGAGATCGTTCCGTTGGCGATATTTTGACCTTCACCACCCTTGTAGGGCTACCTCTCGTCCATATCGTCCGTTTTGCTTTGCATAAAGATGGTCTATTCACAGCCTTAAAGGCATTTTTTGGGATCTTGCATCTGCGGAGACTCTTTCAGTTTCCTTGCACTTTTACCCATTTTGTAATACATACCATAACTTGACCACATAATTTATTGAATCAGTGTTACGTCTCATGTAGAAATATCAGCCTCATGCGTAATGTCGGGCAATTCAGTGTAATCCATGCGAAGCAGCTCCAAGCTGTCACAGATCACTCGAAGTCTTTTGCGTTTTCAGAAGTAGGCGATTAGGGCTCCCTGTCTGCCAAAATGAGTCAGTTTTGCCTGAACTTGATAACCCAGCGGATTTGTCGAATTCGACATGATTTCGGTCATTGTCTAGGACAGTAACCGATTGCTGGACCGTTATGTTCATTGCTTATGGAGTTGGCATAACCTGAATGTCTGTGTTGGTTTTCAGGTGAGGAATTTTGCTGATTGCATAGATGGCACAGAAGTCTGTTTCGTAATGAAAATGCACGTATGCGTCACTGGCTCGTCCCAGGGGCAGTGGTGGGTCTGTGGAAGTGGAGGTTCTGT